GGTCAGGAACAAGACAAGGATGTCCACTCACCACTTTTATTCAAAATAGTACTGGAAGTCCTAGCCACAGCAATCAGACAGCAAGAAATAAAAGGCATCCAAATCAGTAAGAAGTAAAACACTCATTACTTGCAGATGACATGATATTATATATAGAAAAACTTTAAAGTCTCCAACCAAAAAACTGCTAGAACTGATAAACAAATTCAATATAGTCTCAGGATACAAAATCAGCACACAGAAATCTGTTGCATTTCTACACACCAATAATGAAGCAGCAGAAAGAGAAATTAAGAAAACAATCCCATTTGTAATTGCACCCAAAATAAAATACCTAGGAATAAACCTAACCAAAGAGGTGAAAGACCTGTACTCTGAGAACTATAAAACACTGATGAAAAAAATTAAAGACAATAAAAGAAATGGAAAGATATTCCATGATTATGGATTGGAAGAACAAATAGTATTAAAACATCTATACTATGCAATGCAATCTATACATTTAATGAAAGTCTATCAAAATACCAAAAAAGTTTTTCACAGAACTAGAACAAATAATCTGAAAATTTGCATGGAACCACAAAAGACCCTGAATAACTAAAGCAATCCTGAAAACGAAAAGCAAAGCTGGAGGTGTCATAATTCTGGACTTAAGCTATAGGGCAAAGCTGTAGTGATCAAGACAGTATGGTACTGGCACAAAAACAGACACACAGATCAATGGAACAGAATAGAAAATCCAGAAATAAACCCACAACCCTAAGGCCCATTAATCTTCAACAAAACAGGAAAGAATATCCAATGGGAAAAAGTCTCTTCAAGAAATGGTGCTGGGAAACTGGACAGCAACACGCAAAAGAATGAAACTGAACCACTTTCTTACATCATACACAAAAATAAACTCAAAATGGATTAAAGACCTAAATGTCATACACGAAACCATAAAATATCCTAGAAGACAACATAGGCAGTAACTTCTTTGACATTGGCCATAGCAACATTTTTCTAGATATGCCTCCTTTGGCAAGGGAAACAAAATAAAAAATAAACTATTGGGACTTCACCAAAATAAAAATCAGCTGCACAGCAAAGGAAACAATCAACAACACTAAAATACAACCTAAAGAATGGGAGAAGATATTTGCAAATGACATATCTGATAAAGGGTTAGTATCAAAAATATATAAAGAACTCACAAAACTCAACACCCAAAAAAAACCAAATAATCTAATTAAAAAATAGGTAAAAGACATGAACAGACATTTATCCAAAGAAGACATACAGATGGTCAACAGCCACATGAAAAAATGTTCAACATCACTTATCATGAGGGGAATGCAAATCAAAACTACAATGAGATATCACCTCACACCTTTCAGTATGGCTAAAATAAACAACACAAGAAAGAACAGGTGTTGGTGAGGATGCAAAGAAAAAGGAATCCTCATGCACTGTCAGTGGGAATGCAAACTGCTGCAGCTGCTGTGGAAAATATTATAGAGGCTCCTCAGAGTTAGAAATAGAGCTACCTTAAGATCTAGCAATAGCACTACTGGGTATTAACCCAAAGAAAACAAGAACACTAATTCAAAGTGATTCATGCACCCTGATGTTTATCGTACCATTATCAACAATAGCCAAAATATGAAAATAGCCCAAATGTCCCTTGACTGAGGAATGAATAAAGAAGATACGGTGTATACACACAGACACACACACAATGGAATATTACTATGCCACTAAAAAGAATGAAATTTCTCCATTTGAAATGACCTGGATGGAGCTGGCGAGTATAATGCTAAGTGAAATAAGTCAGAGAAACACAAATACCATATGATTTCACTCATGTGGACTTTAAGAAACAAGCAAAAGGGTGAAAATATAAGAGAGAGAGAGACAAACCAAGAAACAGACTCTTCACTAGAGAGAACAAACTGATGATTACCACAGAGAGGGGGGTGAGGGGCTGGGTTCAACAGGTGATGGGCATTTCAGAGGTCACTTGTGACGAGATGGGGTGATGTATGGAAGTGTTAATTGTACACCTGAAACTAATATAACACTATGTTAAGTAACTGGAGTTAAAATTTTAAAAGAAATTTAAAGACAAGTGAGTTAAGTATGTTCATGCCCTCTGATTCAGAAATTCCACTCCTCAATTTATTTTAAGGAAAAGAAATCAGAGATGTGGTATCATTGCAGTGTTATTCATAAGAATAGAGTACTGAATTGGCCACTAATATGAAAAAAAAAGGGATTGTCTAAATTATGTACTATCTTATGATGAATTATTTTATAATCATTAAAAGCCAGTATTTCAAAGAATTTTTAAATAAAGTAATTTTGAAGTCATAATTTTAAGTCTAAAAAGCACATAGTTGGATCTAAAGAATGAACTAAGTGTGTGTTTGTGTTTAAGAATATACCAGGGGCGGGTCACCTGGGTAGCTCAGTGGTTTAAAGCCTCTGCCTTCGGCTTGGGTCATGATCCCAGGGTCCTAGGATTGAGCCCCATATCAGGCTCTCTGCTTCCTCCTCTCTCTCTTTCTCTCTCTGCCTGCCTCTCTGCCTATTTGTGATCTCTGTCTGTCAAATAAGCAAATAAAATCTTAAAAAAAAAAAAAAGTATACCAGGGGCACCTGGGTGACTCAGTCAGTAGAGAGTCTGACTTCAGCTCAGGTCATGGTCTTGAGGTCCTGGGATGAGCCCCACATTGGGCTCCGTGCTCAGCGGGGAGTCTGCTCTTCTCTCTCCTTCTCCCCCTGCACCTTCCCCCCTGCTCATGCTCTCTCTCACTCTCTCTCAAATATATAAAATCTTTAAAAAAAAAAAAAAAGGAAAGAGAAAAAAGAATACACCAATAAAGGTGGCTGGCTGACACTGTTGGTAGAGCTCTGGGGTGTGAGTTCTGGGTTGTGATCTCTGGGTTGTAAGTTCAAGCCCCACATTTAGAAAAACAAAATCTTATTTTTCACATTTAGAAAAATAAAATCTTAAAAAAAAAAAAAGAATACACCAGCAGTGTTAGTGATTACCTTTAGTGTAAGAATACAAATATGTCTTATTTTCTTTTCTTTAATAATCTGTAGTAGTTCCCCCTTATCGGCAGGGGATATGTTGCAAGACCCCTGTGGATGGCTGAAACATGAATAATACCAAACCCTATATATACTGTCTTTTCTCCTATACATAATACCTAAAGTTTAATTTATAAATCAGGCACAGTAAGACATGAACAATAACAAATAATAAAATAAGCAATCATAATAATATATTGTAATAACAGTTATATGAATGTGGTCTCTTTCTCACTTAAAATATCTTGCCATACCATACTCACCCTTGTTCTTGGGATGATGTGAGATGATAAAATGATGAGATAACTAGGTCATTGGACTACTAATGACCTAACAATATGTTAGGAGGATCATCTGCTTCCAGACCCATGGTTCACCAGGGGTAGCAAACTGCAAAAGCAAAACCACAGATAAGGAGGAACTAATGAATTTCCCAAATTTCAACAGTAAGCAAAAATAAACCATATTTCTCTTACAAAAAGAAGCTGGTGTGAAAGCAAGGGGGGGATATGGGTAGAGCGAGAGGAGGACAACACTAGAGAGGATTGTTTTTAGACTGAAGTACACAGGCATGGCATTATACGATGAGTGGAAATGTCAGTGGAAAAGTAGAGGCTGAATGTATGGAAGACAAGAAGATAACTGACCGCACAGGCTTCCTGAGAGATAAGAAGGAATGAGGTCTGGCTCTAGTAAAAGAGTTAACCTTCAACAGAGAAGGGTACTTCTTTGACTTTATGAGAGAGAAGGAAGTAAGGAGCAGAGCTCCCTTATTGACTTTGCATGCTCACTGCCTTCAACACTGCCTGGCCCTGAATGGAGCATGTAAGTTTATAGGTGAAGGAGAAGAAGGTTGGAGGATTTGCTATAGGTTGACTCCCATTTTCTCCAGTGAGAGAGCCAATATCTAGTATAGTGGTTCTCAAACTTTTATTAGAATGTATTATAATGTATTATTTTTTTGTGGTCTAGATCCTTTTCTAAGCTGTGAGCTCCCTAAGGGCAGAAGAAATCATGTATCTCCATATCTACTATATCATTCCAGTGACTGACTGATGCAATGTAGATGCTCAAGAACAGTTTGTTGAATGAATGATTGAATGATGAATGAATGCAATATGATAGGAGACACAAGAATAGTGGTAAGGTTTCATATAGCTTATGTGAGTGTTAAAGGGAATTGACCAGTGACAAGTAAAAGGACCTGGGCAGCCTAAAGACAAAATTGCATACCTCTGTGCTTAAGAGGATTCCAAATAGAAACTGGAGAAACTAATTATAATTACAAATGGTCTGCTTTGTTCTCTGTCCAATAACCCCTTTTCTTTGAACCTGCCCTGCACAAGTCTCTATGGGGCAAATGAAAGGATAGAAATACATGCAGCCCAGCCATCATAGAAAAGAGTGGTCCTCTAACTGCTAACATTCAGTTTTCCTTTGTTTAATTTGAACCTGTACAGACTTTTAAGCCTCTTACTAGGTAATACCTACCTTGCATAGTAAATTGGACCAAGTATGTAGAAAGTCTTTTAAGTTATTAATGACAACACAAAAGCAAGGGACTACTATTTGGGGGATATTTTACTTATTTTTATATGCCGAAAGCAAGAAGATGCCCCAAATTTTTAAATGCTTCAGGTCCTAGAATAGCTTCCTCCAGCCAGGTTTTAGGTTCTGAAGCAGTCGTTGGCCTAAATAGGAATATTCCACCAAAAGAAGAGGATTATATTTTTTTCCCCAATACACACTTTCGCTTTAAGGTTATCAGAATGGTGCTATCTATGAGAAGTGGTTTAAATGTGAGCAGAAGCTGACACAGATTAACTTTAACAGAATGCTATAGAGAAGAAAAGGGTTGGATCAGAGTGGTAACTCACAGATACCATCATTTGTTATTCCTGACTTTTTTTTTTCCAAAACAGAATTGCATTGATGAAATTGAGTCCATAATCAGTGTTAAGCTCCAGCTCATCGGAATTGTTGGTATTGGGATTGCAGGTCTCACGGTGAGAAAGTTCCAGAACTTACCTTTTTTTCTTTCTAAGAAGCCTTTGCATCTTATTTGTCTTCAAGTGTGATACGGCAGTATCTTAGGAGAGATTTCTCGTAAAAGACAGATGGTTGTTGACAGGACATGTTCTAAGAACAAAGCATTTGATTATCAATACTCAGTTCTCTCAAATATGATACCAATTTTAACTTGAGCCTAATTATGACCTTGAGTTTATCATTGCAATAACTTCCCACATTAAGACCAGCAAGCTTAAGCTAGACAAGTGATTTCCAATTCTGGGTCTCTTCTTACTGTTAGAAATTTAAAATAGCCCACCAGGTAAATCTCTCTTACCTATGATTTGCAGAAGTAGTGTAGTGTAGGGAATAATAGTGCAAGCTCTGGCACCCCGGTCTGGGTTCACCTCCTAGCTCCACTACTTACGAGCCCTGGGATCATGGGAAAGTTTTTTAGTTTCTCTAGTCCTCAATTACCTCATCTGTAAAATGAGGATTTTAATTTCCAACCTCCTAAGATTGTTGTGAAGATGAAATGGGATAATACATATAAAGTATTTGTAGGCATTAACTCATCTGAAGTGTCTGGAAGATAGCACTCAACGAATGCTGGCTCTGTACACAATCTGAGCCTCCCAAACCAGAACCCCGACAGAAGGAATAACATGCAGAAGCGGGAAGCACAGTGCATCCGGGCACCTGCAGATGGCTCTGGGCCTCCAAAGCACACAAGCATGCAAGAACTGGTAGGGGCCCACGGGAAGAGAGGACAGTGAGGAGGCTGTGAGAGTCCGCAAAACTGTGGTCTTTGTGTGCCCTTTTGAGGGATTGGGCTCTATCCTTAAGGTAGAAGGAAGCCACCGAGGGATAGAAGGACCTGTGTTGCCGTGTGGAGGTAAGCTGGAGGGAAGCAGGATTTGAGTCAGACTAGGAAAGTGGTGATTTCCACCGTCCAGGGCTGAGTAATAACAGCTGATGCTGAGGTAGTACTTCCCCTCTAGTTCTGTATGTAGATGAATTCATGGCATCAGCTAAGGCGGGGGCAAAGGGAATTGCAAGGAAAATCAAGGAATTGGCAGCTTTCCAGGACACACACGCACTTTCCCTCTCTTCTGTATTTAGAGTGCAGCGGGATGGAGTAGCAGGTGAAATACTATACTGAGGGCCTCCCAGCCCAAGGGACATCTCTCAGGCCCTCCTCACCTGCTCTGGGGCTAGCCTGCTCGCTATTCTGTGGCTTCCTGAGAACAATTTTGAGGCAGATTTGAAAATGGGCTGCATAATAGAGGTACCAAAGAGACACCCCTAACAATTTCATCATCTCAAAGAGTGAGCATCGTAGAGACAGTCACTTGTACTCATGACAGTGGCAGGACAGTGCTAAGAAAGTTCCTTTCTGAGGGGATCCCTTTAGGGGTACAACCAGGATGAAGCAAGTGTTGTATCCCACCTGACAACCACACTAGCGGGAAAGGCCCTCTATTGGTCACCTTGAATCCGCACCCCCAGATCTGATCCTTTTGTAACTCCTTTCTTCTTAGGGTAAGCGTTGCAATCAGTGAGCCAGATGTCCTGAAGTGTCTCCTCTGCCACACACTGGTACTGAGTTCTGGCAGCCAGGAGCTTAGAGCCATACTCCAGGCTGCTTTTATTAAGCCTACTTTCTCCCTTCCATATAGCAGATAGTACATGGCTTTTTAAATTGAACATTTATAGATTCTAGTCTGATGAAGGATGGATTAAGGAGAGAATCATAGGGTTATGGTACAGATTTCTTTAAACAAACATTGACAGTAGTTTATAAACATTGCACCTGCTGATAACATTCTATGGGGTCTAGGAAATTGTTGGGGAAATGATTGAGAACAAGAAAGATCTTTTGACATCCTTCTATTCAAACTATACCAATGGCTATTGGATTTGCCAAGTATTTGGCTTTTCAAGGAATTATCCAAGAGGCAGAAGACATCAGTAATACCATAGTTCTAACACCTTAGTTTATGCTTTGGGCAAACTATTGAGTTAAATAGTGAAGCATCATTTGTACCTTAAAATGGAGCAGGAAAAATGAAAAGATGCTCTACTTTGTAATATGTGGTCACTGTTGCAAAAGTTCAGAGCTTTTCCAACAGGAAACTCTTTAGACCTAAGTGTAAACAACTAATAGTTCACATGTTAATATGGAAGTCTTTAGCCAGCAACGATAATTAAGTAGTATATATAAAAATGTCACTTACAGTCTTTAATTATTAGACACCCATGCAGTTTGCTTTTCCTTTTTTTTAAATCCGTTTCTTTTGTTTGAAAGTCATTAACAAGTGGTTCCTCCCGTTGCAGATCTTTGGCATGATATTCAGCATGGTGCTTTGCTGTGCAATACGAACCTCACGAGATGTGATATGAAGCTACTTCTACATGAAAATTGCAAACTAGAGCTTCCATACGCTGTCACCGGAAGTGTCTCCTGACTCATTTTTAATATTCAAAGGACATTAAGATCTAAAATAATATGCTGTTAATTGTACATTTGCACATGTATGTATGTTTGGCTCATTACTCATTTACCCCTTGAGTGAATGCTGTGTGTGTTGACTGAGATTCATGTGTGATCTGTGAGCTTCTGGTGTATGCATTGTACATAATGAAATCTGTTTTGCTGGAAATTCCTGGTTCTTACTATATCAGAGGAATGATCTATTTGACTCTCAGAAAAAGATCATCAAATTTTGATAAACTTTAAAAACTTGGCTATTTAGAAGAAATGATCATGGGTCATTTTCCCAGATTCTAGCCAGAGAAAGTTAGATACAGAGAATTCAGGATTTCTGGTTAACGGAAGCAATAAGCTACAGGACTTGAGAGATCATGGTGTAGGATGCACTGACTGCATCTGAGTTAGGTGTAAGGGTTTCCTGGGATTTTTTTATATACATACTCCCCAGAACACAGTAAACCACAGTTTTAGAACTAAACATATCTGTGAGACTAAATATAGCATGGAAAATCTAATTTGAATAAGTCATACTTTCCTAGTATTTAAAAACAAAAAACTCCCTCTGGAAAGAGTGGTCACACAGACAATCATGTGCCCTATAAAAGTGAGTGTTTTTAGGACTTAAAAAGAAAAAAACCTTTTAGTAACTTTTTAAGGATATTTTTTGTTCTTATATAAATACATTTAAATATTACTTTATAACTTTCTTTTTCTGACTCTGCTCTGAACTATAGCAGCCCTCACATGAGCAAAAGGGCTTTTATCTCAAACTTTTCCACGTTTCTTCAAGTGTGCAGACAGAAAGACTAAAGCAAGAGCTCTGGCAGTTGCAAATAGTGGGAAAGAGCATTTTTACTGGCACTGTATCTCTGAAATACCTCATAACTTGAGTTTACATATTTTCCTAATTTTTTTGTATTTTTCTTATTCACCTAGAGAACTCTTCTTCATGGATTTTGATCTATAGTTTTTACCACTTAAGCTGAAACAAAATCCTTCCTAATTCAGATATTATATCAGAAGCATCCCTGGCCAAAGAAAGAAAGAAAGAAAGGCATCTACTAGTTGTGTGCACACAACAGGAACAAGCTAACTAAAATAAAACCCACAGAACAGAAATGTGTTTTTTTCTGTGTAAATCTCCTTATAAAAATAAAATTTTCATATTCTTTATGGTCTTGATGCTTCAACTGAGGTAGGTAAACCCAAATTTAGAATCCAAACTGGTATCTTTGTCAATTTTTAACAACGTAGTACATTTATTAGATCATAGAGAGTTTTTTAAATTACATTTTAAAAGGCCACACAAAAGTGACAGTACTGGGGATTTTGGAAACCTACTTAAGCTCATCCACCTGTGAGAACACAATCTTTGGGTATGCACTAAAGAAAAGTGTGCACCCCAAGAAACTTCTACAAAACGTTTTGCTGAAAAGACCTAACGACTACAAATAGTCTCATTTGCATAGAGAACCACACTTCTGCTGTTGCTTACTTGCTACTGCTACTAACGTTGGAGGAAGCTTTTCTGGGAAAAAAGTCAGATTGGAAGCAAGCTAAAAATTTAATTGTACATGGCTACTTTACTGTGTCTATAGCTGAAGAAAAGATTATTTTAAGAAAATCACTTCATGAAATAGACGTTTATACTCCAGTAGGTGAGAAATATAAACTTTTAAGCGAAGAACAAACAGTCCATCTCTCTTCCTGGCTTTAGTTCATCCTCTACCTGAAGACAGGCCCAAGTGCATAGGTTTCTTCCACCTCAGAATTGTCTCTAATTTAAAAAAAATTAAAAATAAAGTTTCATTCTATACCTGATTTAACAACCTTAAGAAGAGTACAATACTTAAAAGTGGGGGAGTAGAGATCTGTTCCATCTATGGTTAATGTGTTCCTTTTAGGAGTAATTTTTCCAAAATCTGTGCCGTGAGTAAAGCTAAAGAATTCCACCTCCGAGTGAGGGCAGATTTTTATATATCGTAAATCTATATATATCTTGAATTCCTATCTATCTTGAATCTATATGTGTCTTGAATTTATAACTCTTGAATATATACGTAAATAAGTTAATATATGTATGCATGAATGTGTATACATACATACATGTATACATATATGGGTACATATATACATATTCATATATATAAATTCTTGGTTATAGCTATTTATCTGAACTGATTTGAGATCAGACCCAAACTTACCCTGAAGCTTCTGGTACCGAGGCACTGAATTAAAATTTCTTGATGAACTATTTTATTTTAAATTAAATTTTCTATGTACTGGAATTCTTGTTTGATTTCTCTTAAAAATTCTATTGTATCTTTATACACATCTTTACACAACTTATCTAAATGTCCAACTACCAAATAATATGGCTTTAAAAAAAAAAAGGAAAGAATAGTAACCCTTCTGTAGTGTGACTATGAGGAGCTAGATGTAAAAGTAACATTCTAAGGACTTTTGTGCAAGTAGTTAGATTTCGATTAACATTGTCTCATCCAGATTATACATCTTTTCCCCAGAATACCTCCTTTGTTGTCCAGGGTTCAATCGGTAAACCATACACTGATACAGGGACCAGTGTAATCCTACACACAGTCATCCAGGAGAGTTGCTCTCCTTTCCCTGTGTGCCCCATTAATAGGTTTACTTGAAGAGAAGAGGCTTGTGGGAAGAAGACAGTGAAGGAGATAACATATCTTCCCTTCTGAAATAACTATCAAAGATTAAAAGGAAGAGGCACCCTTGGGTGTTCAAGAACTTGCCTGCTTCACTACTGTGTTGACATCCCCTTTGACCACCAGCCCCCTGATTTCAGCAACCATATCTTACACATCCCTGTGAAAGAGCATTCGTGGGCCCTGAGGCCATCAATTAACTACATCATCTTATTTGAATTCCTCAAAATCAAATTTCTGTTAAGGTGTATTTTGAGGGGCACAAAAATTTCTACTTTCAACATGATTATTTTTTCCTATAAAATGTATCTCTAAGTTATTATGTGTACGTGTTCATTGAAAGGTAAAAAGACTTAACTAATGCAAAATGTTATTAATCATTTTGTTGGTGTCCTCACTGTCAACAAAAGTTAAATACATCCCAGGAAACCACTTTTCCAATGGCTGTCTCCTGAGGATATGGAAAGCATAAAGTATAGAAGTAATATGTCCTGAATGTTGCAAAGCAAAATTTATGCTGATTTCATAAAATTTTTAGTTAATGTGCCGGAAACCCATCTGAAGCTTTTGGGATTTGTTTTGTTTTGTTTTCTTGCATAATTTACTGATGATTTTACTTATATTAAATAGAAGAAACTTAAAATAACCAACTTTGAAGTAAGCAAACCTGGCAACTAATGAATATTATCTAAATTGTTATAATTATTACACTGATGAAAATTTCTGTTAATTATAAATCAAATATGCATCATCTTGCACAACTAAAGGTACTTCTGCATGATGCCAAATACCTATTTGAAAATATTAATTTATAGAATTAATGAATAGCTTTTGATGTATTTCCCAATTTTATTTTAATTCAAAGATTTGATATTGATAGCCATAGCCAGAGTCCCTATATTTTCCTCTGGACCAGCTCTGCCTTGTAAGATGCAACCCACTCTAATATTAGAATTTGTTTTACTTTGTTTGAGGACTACTATTTTATACATTTGACAAAACTCTTTAGAAGATAGTGATATGCTAAGATGAACAAGAGAAGTCTGCCTTCAAGGAGTTTAGAGTAAGGGGAAAAAACAGGCAAATATAATTCCCATGAGGTAAGTGCTATGATATTCATTAACCAAAAGTAGACCCTCTCTACCTTAGAGAGGATGGTCAGGGGAGAGAGATTTTCTGAATTTTGAGGTCTCTAAACTGAGTCCTGAAGAACCCATATAAATTATCCAAAAAAAAAGTAACAGCAGTAGAGAAGAAAAGCGGATCACGTGGGGAACAACATCAAGAAGACCCTGAAAGAGATAGCATGGAAGAATTCCAAGAGAGCATGTCAAGAACTGGGAAGATGAAGGTTCCCATTAAACTGATCCAAGGAGTCTTATCTTTGTACAACTATCATGGCAAAAATTTTAAACAATGAGTTACAAAATTAAATTTGCACCTTTCAAAAATCACTTAGTATGAACAATGATTGGAGGGCAAAGGCCAGAGGATTTCATGAGGATTTCTAACTTACATACTGGGATTCCTACCAAGAAGTAGATAGATGGGACACCTGGGTGGCTCAGTGGGTTAAGCCTCTGCCTTCTGCTCAGGTCATGATCCCAGGGTCCTGGGATCGAGTACTGCATCGGGCTCCTTGCTCGGCAGGGAGCCTGTTTCTCTCTCCACGTCTGCCTGCCTCTCTGCCTGCTTGTGTGCTCTTTCTCTCTCTTTCTAACAAATAAATAAAATCTTAAAAAAAAAAAAAAGAAGTAGATAGATATAGGGGCAATGTAGAGAAAGAGGAACCTGGAATCATTCCAGGTTTCCTGACAGCTAAGGGATGGTGGTGCCCCGGAGAAAAAGCAAACTACAGTTGGAAGGAAGTTGAAGCCAGTTGGAGAGACTATAGGACATCCAAGAGGATATATAATCAGGCACTAGATACACACACTGAAGCTCAGGAAAGGAGTCTGAGCTAGAATTCTAGTCTAGGAATCTGCAACATAAAAGTAGTAGTGCCCATATTTGAACAATATGGGTAGCCTTTCATGTTGAAGACCTCAGTGAGAAAGTTTCAAAAACTAGAATCCTCTACTCCAGTAAAGTTTAAATCCCCCAAAAGTTCTTTACTCCCCATCCATTCCTCCATCTCAGGCTGGAGGGTCTCCATCAGCTACCTGTATTCTTTCAATAGGTGCCATCTAAACCATCTTTTATTGAAATGGGTAGTTTCTCATTTGTTCTACATTTAACAGTGTCCAAAGGGTCAATAGGATAGATTATATAGATAGATATATACATGATAATGTAACATTGTCACAGCACTAGCCCTTCTTTCACAAAATGTGCAAACTTCACTCTTACAGCACAAAGCAAAATTACATTTCCAGAAGAAGTACAGTTCAGAACTACATTACAGTTGACTGCTAGACCATAGCATGGATTTCTACTCATCACAGAGAAGGGTAGCAAGAAAAGGCTTGAAAAGAGAAAATGTTGACGTCGGCCTCATTAGGACTGATTACAAATGCCATAGATGTATTATGTTTTGAATCCAGATATATGACCTCCACTGGGCCCTCTAGGGCAGCACAGAGTTCACAGAAGATCAGAACCCATATATTGGACTATTAGTAAGTCATTGTTAACCTTACTAGAAACAGTTTCAAAGGAAAATAGGAGTGGAAGTCATATCATAGTGGGTTGAGAAGAGAATGAAAAGTGAGGAAATAAAATGGTCAGTATAGGAGGCTTGCTGTAGTCTGAAGTTTTTTCCTCCCTAAAATTCATGTGTTGAAATCCAAATGCCCAATATAATGGTATTAGGAGGTGAGATCTTTTGGAGGTTACTAGGTCATGAGAGTGGGGGCTCCACTCTCATGGGATTAATGTTCTTATAAAAGACCCCACAGAGATCTCTTGGCCCTTCCACCAAGTGAGGACATAGCTGAGAAGGACCAGTTATGAACTAGAAAAAAATCTCTCACTCGAATAAGACCATGGTGAGCACCATGACCTTGAACTTCCCAGCCTCCAAAATAGGTTTCTGTCATCTATAAGCTACCCAGTCTGTGGTATTTTGTTATAACAGCCCAAACAGATTAAGATGGAATTTTTACACACACACACACACACACACACACACACACACACGCGAATAAGAAGTCAAAGAGAGAAGAGCAAATAAACAGAAGGCTGTGCAGGCTCACAAGAAGATCCTAGGTCTTCTAAGATCCTAAGATTATTTAGTTGTTGTTGCTTTTTCTTTTTAATTCAGGAAGAGATTGAAGAATGATTCTTGCTGAGGAGATCTTGCTGAGGAGAGAAAGTCAATAAATAGGAAGCAAGAGAAGAGAAAACAGCAAAGTCCTGGAGGAAATGCAGAATGGGATCTTTTGAAACTAATGGGAAATATGCCAAAATGCGGGAGGGGATCTTTTGAAACTAATGGGAAATATGCCAAATCAGTCAGTAATCTTTAGTTGCTAGTGTCAGAAACCCAACTCCCACTAGCTTAAGCAGTTCTGATTAAAAGTTACAATTTCATTTAGAATTGAAGCCAGCTTCTGATTAGACTCAAATGATATCATTAGGTCTCTCTCCTTCACTCTGTCATCTGTGTTGGCTTTATTCCCAGGCTGGCTGTTTCCAGCAGATGCCAAAGATGACCAGTAGTGGCTCTAGGCTCACAGCTTACAAATCCCAACAGGGTTTTGTCCTCTTTGCCCAACAGTTACAATAAAAGTCCTGAGACTGACTCTGACTAGAAGAGATCAGTTCACATGCTCATCCCTCAACCAGTCAGGGTCGGTTGAGCCTAAATATCATGTCTACCTCCATCATCTGAATTGAAAATGTTGGTTGGGGTGGTACAGGGTGAGGGACACTTAGAGAAAGGACACACTATACTTGTGGTCCCAATGAGAGTCAACCCCTACTCAATCATCAACATCCTAACTTTCCAGGAGGAGCAGCCCCCACCCCCAGACCCAGATGCTGAAGAAGCAAACATGAAACTGCCCATGCCCAGCAGGTACTCCATGCCCTGTGGCTGTGCTGCACACTACAACCTGCCACTCCACCTGCTGGCCTACTCTACCCCTGATGTCATCTCTGGGTCCCTGAATGAGGAAGTGCACTCCCAGGAGACAATGACCTTAAGTATCATAACTCGCACACTGGGAATTTCATCTGTCAGGAAAGACACCTCCAGAAAGACTTTTGACCTCACAGGACAGGCCCATAATTATCAGGAATTGCTAACCACCTTTGTGCTGCCAAACTCCAGGTAACAGACTCTTGGATTCACATGATGCTTCTGAAGAAAGGACCACAGCCTGACTGCACACCATCTGGTGACCTGAAAGTAAATATTTCCTGGAATTGAAGTAGACACATGACAACCAGCTTTTCCAAGATGTCTGGACAGGCCTATATACCTTTTTCTTACACTGTTTCTTTTCTCTGCTTCTTCTATTTCTTCCTGGTTCAGTTGTGGTAGTTTATATGTCTCTAGGAATGCATCCATTTCTTCCAGATTGTCAAATTTGTTGGCATAGAGTTGCTCATAATATGTTCTTATAATTGTCTGTATTTCTTTGGTGTTAGTTGTGATCTCTCCTCTTTCATTCATGATTTTATTTATTTGGGTCCTTTCTCTTTTCTTTTTGATAAGTCTGGCCAGGGGCTTATCAATCTTATTAATTCTTTCAAAGAACCAGCTCCTAGTTTCGTTGATTTGTTCTATTGTTTTTTTGGTTTCTATTTCATTGATTTCTGCTCTGATCTTTATGATTTCTCTTCTCCTGCTGGGTTTAGGGTTTCTTTCTTGTTCTTTCTCCAGCTCCTTTAGGTGTAGGGTTAGTTCTCTGCTTCTTCTGTGGAAAGACTCCTTTTCTGCATTTCCCAAGCCCTTGCAAAAGAGAAGAACCCGGTCTATTGATTATCGCCTTTCAGAAACACTTCATTATTCACTTCAAATTCACACTAATTCTCACTTGCTTTTTCTGAAGGGTTAGAATTTTCAGAGTTCACAAAAATTTTCTTTTATCTAAACTATTAACTGACTTTGGATTTTTATCCAGACTTATGGTTTATGAATTTGCAACCTTACAGGTTGTGTTATCAATAACACATTTGGCTTCAAGCAGTTCTTTTGAGATAGTGTTTTAAAACATCTTTGAAGTTCTGCTATTTTTCAAAAAGTTCATCAACTACTGCTTCATGCTTATATCTGCACTCTGTCTTCCCAAATGCACTCAGTTAATTCTTCCAGGGTGCTCCTGCAGTACTCACTAGTCTGCTTTCATGGTCGCTTTAAGCAGAGACTTCTAGGAGGCATGCATGACTCCAGGTTTGCCTTCACAGGGAGAACAATTCTCCCCATAACTGGAATAAATGCCAATAAATATTTCAGTTGGTTATTTTCAGATCTAGGGTCCTGGTTTAAAACCATCATGCAATTTGGAATTATTTCTTTTGCATATAATTATGTTAAGTTTTGTATTTTCTTTACCATCAAACTTATTTTAAAAACCACTTATCCAATAAAGTGATGTTACCTTCTGGGTTACTTCCAACACTTAAAACCTTGAAAAAAATGGGCTTTTTTTTTTTTTTTAAAGATTTGCTTACTTGTGAGAGAGAGCATGGGGTGGGGGAGAGAATCTCAAGCAGACTGCCCACTGAGCACAGAGCCTGGCACAGGGCTCAATCTCACAACCCTGAGATCATGAGCTGACCCAAAATCAAGAGTCAGGATACCTAACCAACTGAGCTACACAGGTGCCCTGAAAAGATAGACTTTAGATAAGAAGTACCTGAGAGTGTCTCCCTGCTAACCTTCCTTGCTGCTCAGATGTGACCAGAAGTGGTTTCTAACCGTTATGCACATTCCCTCTGACATATGACATGACAACCAGGAAAAGTACTTTCTGGTACCAAGGGACAAAACCATAAAATAGAAAGAACTTGATTTTTGATCAGTGATGCTTTCAAAGAAAGATCTTGATCAAAATGTGAAAATTAATAAAAGGAAATTTTGTTCAGAGGGGGAGCTCTCATGCCCCAACATGGTTTATCAATTTCAGGTTCCATGAAAGTCATATGTAATTAGTGCCAGTTAGGTTTGAACATCAGACATTTTACTCATTAGTCAAAGATCTATGTTTGATACACAGTTTTTAGAGGGGATGTTATAATCCTGCAGCTTTAAGTGTTCATGTTATCAAATGATATGAGAACTCAAACTTCCAGATTAATATTTAAAGACTATGCAGATGTCAACCTCAAATATTAAAGTAAGCATAATGTGGACCCCTGACTTGGTATATAAATGTACAACTATTCCCTCCCCATTGGCAGAACATGAGCTTGGCACTAATCCATTGACACTACCATCTGTACACACACACACACACACACACACAGAGAGAGAGAGAAAGAGAGAGCTACACACACTATGTACTGAATGCATGTAGACATTTACAAAATTTCCCTCTGAATGCAGCCAGTGACTGTGGGATACAGCAAAGCCAACCATTCCAGCTGATAATTGATTTTTACCCTAATGGTAGCAGTTTAGACAGAGAGAAATGGGCAAATATAGGATAAATCATCTTTTTGAGGTCAAGTCTGCAGGGCACTAGGTCTGTCTCACTTCACGCATCTATTGAAACCATGAAAGAGTACCTAAGGAAGGAAGAAAAAAAATAAACAGCCACTTACCAAGCATTTGCTGGAAAATAGTGTTTCAATATTGACAAAGGTTTAAATTAGAATTTAGGATGATTCTATGCTATTTAATCCCTTAGCACTCTTCCCCATCCCTAAAATCTTTCATAACCATACTAATTTTTCAGGACATCAAAAGCCAAAGCAGCACAAGTTGCTTTTGGTATAAATACTGAGAAATGTCTCCTATTACCTGAAAGAATACAAAGGATTTAGACTTCCACATGTAAAATGATCATGGCCTCTTTTCTAGGCTTTTGGGGTATAACTTTCATAAGTCAGTTGGCCCATCAGAGTAATTAAATTAAAGAGAACAGTTTTTAGAATAGAATATACTGTCTGCTGAGTTTTGGTTAAGATCTATCCTGTGCATTTGAATAACTAGAATAAAGTGCTATGTTGCAGATTTCACATATTTTTTACCTTCCATGTCTTCTCCAGTCCTGCTTCTAGCTTGTGGATGCAAATGTCTCCAGTACACTGATGCTCTGTGTTGCTTCAGTTTCTGATCACATTACACTTATAACTCTGCAGCATCCCTACATCCATTTTCTATGTCAAGACAAACCTCATGTCATGGTCTTCTGTTAAAGAAAGCCAGCTCAAAGCTGCTTTTCGTTAGTATTTCATATCCCTCTTTGCCATTTTACCTGCACTGTGCCCTTTCATGTGGAAACTATCCCTCATATGAGTTCATAAGGCTCTTTCACTCACCTTTTCTTCTAAAGCCCATAGGCTCTCTGATGCATGTGTGGGTATGGGTTTGGGTGAAAGAGTACTCAAAATGTACACAATGTGTTGTGAAATATATTCACATTTTATTAATTTTATTCCAGGTGAACACATTTAACTGAATTGCAAGTTACATCACTGTAGAAGTTAGATAGAAAATCCCACCATATAGGACTTCTGAGGTTTGGTACAATAGTTTGTCTTGATGGCCTCATGTATACAGTCACTGTAGTCAGTATTACACTTGCCACACTTACAGCTTACAGCTACAGGGTAGGAGAAATAGGGAGTGACATGGCGTGGGCATCCTGGTATTTCTACAGTCTTGTACATGAAGTCTCTATACGTACAAACATCCTGGGACAGAGCATATTTGGGAAGAAAGAGTTTGCCATTGATATCCTGAGGAAAGAACAGAACAGAAAAGGGAGTATAATGTTAACTCACTTATATTCCTTTGACACAAATAAGACTGAGGGAGGATTCCTTAGTCCCCTTCCCCAGTACCAATTCAATATATTCACACTGAATTCTTTATCACACACACACATACACACACACACACACACACCTTCCTTTTATCCTGATCATGAGAACAATATAAGGTTTAAATAAATTCTGGGAGTAAAATCTGTACCAATTGTGTTAAGTAGATCCATATAATATTATAACCAGGGGGCTCTACCTCTAAGGAGCCAATAACCATTAGATTTAGGAATTAACGTTGTTATTTATCTCATTTCCTTTCTGGATAGAAATGGACTGAGTCTAGGTTTATCTAATTTACAGCCAAAAGAAGTGAGATGAACTACATACCCGTGTCATACAATATCCAGCACAGATGGTAGTGTTGATGGTTAGGCAATAAGCGCACTCTTTCCTTTCAACATGCATTGTATACTCAGTTGGAAAACAAAAAGACATTACTTGCCCACATGCAAGGCCAAAAAGCATGGACATCAGGTAGATAGCAGTCATGCTAAATCAAAGAAAAAATTAAAGAATCTATTACATATATCCTTTAGGACATACAGAAGGGACTTTTTTTCATTTTATTTTATTTTTTCAGTGTTCCAGCATTCATTGTTTATGCAGCACACCCAGTGCTCCATGCAATATATGCCCTCCTTAAAACCCACACTGAGCGAAAATGTGTGTGTGTGTGTGTGTGTGTAAATATTTGTAGCTATTGAATGCCTACTTCGTTCTATGCCCTATGTTGGGTGCTTTTGCATAGTTAATACTCTTAGTAACCTTTCTTTATGCATTTAGATGTGACTATGAGCCACATACCTCATAACGTAGGAACTCACATAGTGAAGGTCCTACTTGCAAGTGCCACTTAGCAACACTGGGCAGTGGAAAGGAAAGCCTGAAACATCACAACAGAACAGTGGCAGAGACACATAATGTCAACTAAGTGTAAAACAATTCACTCAGTGGAAAAAATCCAAATACCTGCCTCTAATTGTAAGAAGTCCGCTAAAGGAGCACCTGGGTGGCTCAGTGGGTTAAAGCCTCTGCCTTCAGCTCAGGTCATGATCCCAGGGTCCTGGGATCGAGCCCCACATTGGGCTCTCTGCTCAGCAGGGAGCCTGCTTCCTCCTCTCTCTCTGACTGCCTCTCTGCCTACTTGTGCTGTCTGTCAAATAAATGAATAAAATCTTTAAAAAAAAAAAAAAGTCCGCTAAAAGTGAGACCTCAGTAGGGTCTTTCTCAGAACTGTAGTTTTCTAAAAACTTAACTTCCTTAACTTAAAAGGCCAACAAACTGGTTATAATCAGAAAGCCTAAAGAAACCAAGAAAAAGTATAATCCAACTTCATTACCATCTCAGCACAAATCACCTTGCATATAATTCTATCCAATGTCTATAAAGGAAGACAAAACAAAGCTGGAGAACATTCAGAATAGGTCAACTAAAATCACCACTGGTGATTTAGATAAAGGGCTAACCCAGAAATCTAGAAACTCCCCTTTTTACAACCCTGAGGATATTCTTTGATGGTTGAAAGAAGTGGAGTTGGACAAATAAAAATTATTTTACTAAGAAAATGTATGGAATGTATTATCTTAAAAAAAACTATAGAAGCAAAAAATATAGGTTGACACAGAGAAATACTATCAAGGACATACCCACTGTGGGTTAGCCAGGAAAAGTAGAGTAAGTTTTGGCTGCATGGACGACAACAGAGGGTCCATTGTGAATCAGACAAAGGAGAATATGTATCTCAATAGAACCTGTGTAATGAATAGTTTGTTCAATATCAATTGATTATTATAATGAGCTGGGTAATATTATTATAACTAATGGTAGATAAATTAGATAAATATATCCTGAGCATTTATTTGAACCAGGCAAAGAGAAATATAAAATGGATAAGCTATGGTCCTTCACATCAAGGGCTGACAATCTAAGCAGAGGAGGTACTGACAATCTAAGCAGAGGTGGTAAGTATGAGCACTAATAAGAAAAATATTGTTCTAAGTGCTCTGAAAGAATAAAATTATGACTCTGAGACACAAAATTATCAAAAATTTCATCTGTATAAACAAGGAAGTGAAGTAATACATTAAAAAGTTTTCCTGGTTAACTCCTTTAGATAAAATGTTGCATATTGAAGTATTCTTCAGAATTTTTTGTATTTCAATTAAAGAGAAAAATGTAAGAATCCCTTAGCTCATGGAGTCTGGCTTTCTCAAGTGCTTCACAAATGTGAGGTCCCTCTATCATACAGAATTGATTTCATTATTTTAGATCCATAGACCTAGAGGATCCTCTAAAAATGATAGAAAATACTCAGCCATCATGATCATATGGTTCTTGCCTCTCTAGCCAGCCAACTACTGGGGTTTTGCATAAAAATAATTAATTCACATATTTTAGCTCTGTAATTCTACATAAGGTAGATATGTGGTGATCTAATGTAGAGTCCTCGAGTTAAGGAATAGAATTCTATTTCAAGATCTCTCATGAAGCTATTAGAAATTGACTAAAAAAGAATTTAATCTGTCTGGGCCTTATTTTCTCATCTGGAAAACACAGAGAGACAAGTAAACCCAACCCTATTTTTTTTATTGTGTTATGTTAGTCACCATAGAGTAGTACATAATTAGTTTTGATGCAGTGTTCAATCATTCATTATTTGCATATAACACCCAGTCATGTGCCCTCCTTAATACCCATCACTGGGTTCGCCCCATCTCCCCAACCCCCCTTCCTTCTGAAACCCTCAGATTGTTTCCTGGAGTCCATAGTCTCTCGTGGTTCATCTCCCCCTCTGATTCCCCTCCCTTCAGGTTTCTCTTCCTATTTTTAATTATAGGATAAAACACCATTTTAGAACTTTTACCCATTGTTGTCATATTCATTATGGATACTACATTTTTTCAAAGTTCCTCTTTGTAAATGTAAATCTCTAAACTTGCAAAAGGAAAAACTAGAAATGCTGAATTACTAGCAATGTTGGCTGTATAATTTTGTGGATACAAAAAAAGTAAGAATTATTCTTTCCCCTTTATTGCAAATAATAAAACTTTACCCACAGAATCTTTCTGAGCCTCAATTTCCTCATCTATAAAAGGAGGGCTTAGAACTAGAAGATGATTAAGAGGGTCTTTTCAGACAAACAGACTGTGATTCTATGTGATAAATTAGTATTAGGTCCCTATTCTATAAGAGTCAGTCGTCTAACTTGTGGAGCATAAGGAATAACATGGAAGGTATTAGGAGAAGGAAAGGAAAAGTCAATCGGGGGAAATCAGAGGGGGAGACAAAGCATGACAGTCTGTGGACTCTGAGAAACAAATTGAGGGTTTTGGAAGGAAGGGGGAGAGGGGATGGGGGAGGCTGGTGGTGGGTGTTAAGGAGGGCACGTATTGCATGGAGCACTGGGTGTGGTGCATAAACAATGAATCTTGGAACACTGAAAAAATTAAATTTTAAAAAAAGACTCAGTGATCTAGAATTCTGCTTCTAGATTTCATTATACTTATGTGTAACTTGAGCAACTTAATATCTTTTGCCTTCATTTTTGCATATGTTCCTTCCTAAAATCATTAAAAGAATAAAACAATATATGTGAAACTCTTGGAATGGTATGGAAGAAAGCCTAGTAATAACACTATATAAATCAGTATTAGTTAATACTTCCCTATATTATCTGCCATAATTTCTCCTTTATTGTCACCTGGACTCCAATCTCTGCAACTTAATTGCCTCTTTTAAAATCATGATAGATGATTTATTTAGAACTTAAATACAGAAGACCCTAATATGATATGATTTCAGGCCCTGAATAATGAGAGATTCCTTTTTCAGTGGCATGACCATCTGTCTACACTTTCAACATTTTTCTTTATTATATCTTCTTTCCTTTACCACTTACACCGCCTTAACCTCCTTTCCTCCTTTTTTTTTTTTGCTCTTACTACCTTCATTCTTAATAAACACATTGCTCTCTATTCTTCTCATTTTCTTTGCCCATCTTTTCTCACCAAATTCCTTACTATGCTATGAAAAGAATCAATTGTCCACCCTATGAGCAATCCAGGAGCTTCTAAACTAAAACAACATATTTTTCTGGAAACCAAAATGTACTATAAGGCAAGGAACGTACATTAGACACTATCCAAAGTGAATTTACTATAAGTTCTCACAGAAGTATATAATCATCAAAGATAGCCATTAGTAATTGACAGATTTTAATATACAGTTAATTTAATTGATAAAAATGTTGAAATCAAAATAGAAAGAGAAAGAGAAAGCCAGGTACATCAATTAGCCTTCATTAGGGAATTGACCAGTTGTTCCTCTTATTTTAAGTCAATGAAATTTTTCTTTTCCTGATACAGCTCACCTACCTTTACTCACCACTGAACAATTTTGGAGAAATAACTGGAGTTCTTAGATTCTATAGAAGCAAATTACCACTTATCATTTGCCATTTTTGAATATCAACTAAAATGGTGAAAATGAAAAAAAATAATTAAAATAAGAACATTTCATTTCACAAAGCCTTCTCAGTGTAGACACCTACCTTACTTTGCTTTGGGGAGCTGATCGTATAATGACCCAGACTAAAAGCTCTTGGTTCATTTTATACCCTTCAGGATAAATCCTCTCTGATCTCCTTGTTTATATAATTGAGTTTGAATTACTGCCTTCTTATCTGAAAAAACATCTATTAAAAATTCATACTGAACCCCAAATAAAATGTGTTTAAATAAACAATTTCACAACATACTCCTCTGGAAACTCTGACATTATTACAGCATGAATTTTCCTCTCTCCTATTTCAAAATAAAATTACCCTTTTAAATACATCCTTTATAAATATTAACAAAGGATATACACAGAAGGAGAAAAAAAAACAACATCATCTAGTAAGTCTTGGGAATAAAGAACTTATTTCGGGCTTGAATGTCCCAAATTTTGCGTAAATGCTCATTTACAGATATATAAAATTATTGCTTACCTATAATACAAAGGCAATTTTCAATGGAAACCCAGGCAAATAACATATATGTTGCTAATTAAAACAAAAAAGAAATCATTAATATTTTATTGTTCTCAAAACAATATTTTATTTTATTGTTTTATCTTTGGATTTTAAAAAATAATAAATACAATTTATATGTGTGAAAGAACAGTCATGTAAGTAAATGACCAAATCTGACAAGATGTCAAACTGATCTGAAATCAAATCCTGACTCTGCCATCTACTCTGACATTAGCATATTTGAACTTTATTTCAGTTTTGTCACCTATTTAAAGGTAGTATCAGCGTCTATGTAAAACACTTAACACAGCATTTGCATATAATAAGTACTTAATAAGTGATAGCTAATTTAATAATTCAACACTTATTTGTTTAGTAACTATTTAGTCAGAAAGCCTAGTATGTAACAGACCATCATTATATATGTTTAATATGTAAATTGCTGAGGGAGTACATGAATAAATAATTACTGAATTTTTTAAAACAACATACACTTTTCTCCATTTCCACGGCTATAACTCAGTTTTACTTCTTTCAATCCATTTTCCTCTCTGTGCAATGTAATATGACAAAAGTTCAATAAGAATTTTCCACTGCCCTCAGAAAAAAGTCCAAACTCCTTAGTATCATTTACAAATCCCTTGGAATACATCTTACCTCTCTGATTTTATCTGTTACCCTTCCCCCTATCTTCGCCACCCTCCCTCCACTTTTTAGGTTCTTCAGCCAAACAAGATGGAATTCCTCAAATTTGCCACTTTCTTTCTTGCCTCCAAGCCCTTTCATATGCCATTCTCTCTGTCTAGAACATCTGCCTGATGCCCCACTCCATGCCTCATCTCACCTAATTCCTACTCATCCTTCATTAGTTTACTGAGAAAGCAGACCTTCTGGAAAGTCCTCTCTTGATTCCCCAAGGCCTTCCTCATGGTTAGTGGTATTAAAAGAATTAGGGAAAATAATAGAACCTCTGCCACATGGAAGATACTCAATAAATTATAAGTATTATTCTTGATTATTGACAACCCCATTGATTTTGATTTATCCTAGTCTTTATCAAAAGTTAATGAAAAAAATGAAAGATGGTTAGATGAGTCTCCCTGGAGGTGACATGGAGAGATCAAGGCAGAATCTGGTATATGTACCAGGAATACTCATTCCAGAGGTCTCCAAATCTCAGAAATATAAGTTACCTTGTAGCAAGAGAAAAACTCTGAAAAAAGGAAAAGTGGAAATAAAGATACCAAACTTAACCTGCTTCATGTGATTCCAAGCATGTTAAGACAGGAGTATACAGGAAAAAAATGAGGGTTGCTGGAGGGGAGGGAGGTAGAAGGGATGGGGTGGCTGGGTGATGGACACTGGGGAGAGTATGTGCTATGGTGAGTGCTGTAAATTGTGTAAGACTGATGACTCACAGACCTGTACCCCTGAAACAAATAATACACTATATGTTAATTTAAAAAAAGAGTACAATAACTGGGAACATTAGATGTTTGTTTCTAGTAGAAGTAGTACCTCTGTTGTACAAATTATTGATTCAGGAACTCAGTTACTAGCACATTTACATACATACCCCTGAGAAATATATATACATATAACAGAACTGATATAAACTTGGCCTATTACTTTTAAAAACTATTAATATATATCATATATTTAGATAATTATTTTCTTTTAAAGGGAATATCATGTATAGGATCTCATACTTTTAAAACAATCCAGGCAGACTGAACTTTCACCTCTGGCCCAGATTTACTATCTCATCTAAGATAACTGTAAGCAGGACAAAATATATGAAACAATGCTTTACATACAGTGGACATTAGGCAGCAACAACAACAAAAGTGCTTCCAGAGAGACAGGAAACAAACAAGAGAACTACAGCTTACTGCCTGAAGAAAGTTTCTGGCAGGTGGTAGAGGGAGATGTACTATGCATGGCTGAGGACAGAACTATCCCTAAATTGAGGAGATGGACTTGGGAGTCCATGGAATCCAAGGTCTTAAGAGTTCACAGGGAGAAATATTGGAGAGAGAACTACACACAGAATTCTGGAGATCTGCAGAGGATCTCTTCAGTATTCAGCTGAAAATGAAAAACTCATGCATGTGAGAAAATCAGATGAGGCTAGGAAAAGAAATATCTAAAAAGATTAAAGAGAACAGTCCTGGGATTCACACAGGGATAGGCACAATGCTTGTATCTACCAGCAACAGTGAAAAATCTCCTAATTCATGGGAAATCAGGTAGTATCCTCAGAAGGGTTTTGCATCAATTAGGGGAAAATTAGCCCTAAACTAAATGCTGCCCAAAAATGCTTAAAAACAAGAACTAAAAGGATCAACTGTTTGCAAGTAATAACCATCAGTGAACAAAGCTGAAGAATATTTATAGGAATGCAACAATATTTGGAACCAAAGGAGGTATAATCTCCAATATGTGGCATTTATTTAAAAAGTTAGTAGTCAGGCAAAGTAGCAAGAAAACACAATTCATAATGAAAAGGAAATTAATTAATTGAAATTGACCCAGAAATGGTACAGATAACAGAATTAGTAGATCAAAAGAAACAAAATAAACAAACAAACAAACAAAAATCAAAACATGACTCTACTAAAGGAATACAAAATTTTCTAGTAACTAATCCCAAAGAAATAGAAATTTGGGAGTTACCTGAAAAACAATCCAAAATAATTATTTTAAGGAGACTCAGGAAGATTCAAGGGAATGTAGGCAATTCAATGAATTCATGAAAAAGCAAGAAGTTTAACAAAGACACAGAAATAATAGAAAATAACAAAACAAGGGTTCTGGAATTGAAGAATCTGTAAGTCATATTGAACTCTAGTATGTAAGTTAGAAGAGAACTGCTGAAAAAAATTTTGTTAATGGATACACAATATATAAATTGGGGCACCAAAACATAAAATGAGGTAAGTCAGTAAATATGCAGAACTTTTTATGCAAATGAAGTAAAGTTGTCAGCTTAAAAAGACAACTATAAATATTGGATATTTTATATAAGTGTCACGGTAATCACAAAACCAGTAATAGATATAAAAATAATAAAAAGAAAAGAACCAAAGCATACCACTATAAAAAATCACCAATTCACAAACAAAGATGACAAGAGAAGAAAAGGGGGACAGAAAAAGAACTAAATGAGAAAACAATTAACAAAGTGGAGATAGTAAGTGCTTATCTATCAATAATCACTGTAAATCTAAATGGTTTAAATTCTCCAATTAAAAGACATAGAGTAGCTGAATGGAAAAAAAAAAAAAAGAAGAAGAAAAAGACCAATGATATGCTGCCTATAAGAGACTCACTTAAGCTTTAAGGAGATTCATAGGCTAAAAATGAAGGGATGGAAAAAGACAGTCCATGCAAATGAAAACCAAAAGAGAGCAGGAGTAGCTATACTTGTGTCAGAAAAAGTAAACTTTAAGTCAAAACTATAACAAGAAACAAAGAAGGTCATTATGTGATGATAAAGGGGTCAATCAAAACTATATAACAATTGTAAATATATATGCATCCAGCATCAGAGTACCTAAATACATTAAACAACAAAGAACAGATCTGAAGGCAAAAATAAACAATAATACTTGAAGGCATCAAAATCCTTGAGGAGAACACAGGCAGCAACCTCTTCAGCCTTAGCCACAGCAACTTCTTCCTAGAAACATCACCATAAGCAAGGGAAGCAAGGGCAAAAATGAACTATTGAGATTTCCTCAAGATCAAAAGCTTCTGAACAGCAAAGGAAACAGTCAACAAAACCAAAAGACAGCTGACAGAATGGGAGATGATATTTACAAATGACATACATAAAGGGCTAGTATCCAAAGTCTATAACAAACTTATCAAACTCAACACCCAAAGAACAAATAATCCAATCAAGAAATAGGGAGAAGACATGAACAGACATTTCTGCAAAGAAGACAGCCAAATGGCCAACAGACACATGAAAAAGTGCTCCACATCACTAGGCATCAGGGAAATACAAATCAAAACCACAATGAGACACCACCTCACACTAGTTAGAATGGTTAAAATTAACAAGTCAGGAAACAACAGATGCTGGTGAAGATGCAGAGAAAGGGGAACCCTCCTACACTATTGGTAGGAACGCAAGCTGGTGCAGCCATTCTGGAAAACAGTATGGAGGTTCCTCAAAAAGTGGAAAATGGAGCTACCCTATGACCCAGCAATTGCACTACTGGGTATTTACCCCAAAGATACAAATGTAGTGATCTGAAAGGGCATGGGCACCCCAATATTTATAGCAGCAATGTCCATAATAGTCAAACTATGAAAAAAGCCTAGATGTCCATCAGCAGATGAATGGATAAAGAAGATGTGGTGTATATGTATATATATACATACACATATATACACACACATATATACATACAATGGAATATTATGCAGCCATCAAAAAATGAAATCTTGCCATTTGCAACAACATGGATGGAACCAGAGGGTATTATGCTAAGCAAAATAAGTCAGTCAGAGA